GAAAACCTTTATAAAAGTCAGTACACGTCCAGATGTTCATGACAAGATCTACACAAAGCCACTGGAAGGCCCATTTGATTCAGTGTAGGACTTGGACTGTATTACTTAAAATTTAATTAAATATTTTATTTAGATTTACAACTACAGATTTCTTCAGCAAGACTCCCGCAGAAATAGAAAATTGTTCTTCATTATATACTTGTATGAAAAAGATAATTTTCTTATACTTCTACAAAGCTAAGTGCTGGCTGGCCCAACAAATAGAACTTCATGAAGTATGGTCGTATTCACCTTCTTTCAAATTATCAGATACGTAATAGTGCAGGCTTCATTTTCACTAACTTCAATAAAAAGACTTACAAACTAAAAGACCTATGGATTCATATTTTCAAATGCAGTATCATCAACTTGCAGGTGAAAGAAATTTGCCATTTACTGTGTTTGCTGTGTGAAAACACAAACTGCAACCAACTGATAATAAGCTTACTTGTGTGCCCTATTTTTTGACTAGCCAGGGACCCCACAGGATGACTCAAGAAACAAAATTACTTGGCTCTGTTGAAGGTATCAAAGCAAAGTGCTCAAGTGCAGCCTTCCTTATTATAACTATTCTACAAATGAGAACTATAGGATCTATAGGCATAATGATTCACCCTCACTTCACATAGACAATATTTCTACCATTAGCAGCTGCACCTGGCTGGCAATTTTCAAAGGCAGTCTTACTTAGAACAAAAAGTATCAATGCATAAATGGTTTTCAGATATTATGAAGTCAGAAAACAGTGTTTCATAAGAACAATAAATAATACAAAAATTAGCCCAAGCAAATAGCTGCCTCACTCATCCTTCTGTTTTCCTAACCTTTTCTTCTGATTCTCTGCAGTTGCACAATGCAAGCCAAATAACTATATTGTTTTTACTGGGCGTTTGAAAGAAGAAATGAAATAGCAATTTCAACCCATGAATTTTTCTTCCTTGTCATTTCCTTTCAAAAATCCTGCATGTTTACCATTGATTCTGGGAAACAATCAGTTTAAGTGACTACAGCCGCTCTTCATATAAAAGCTGCAAGTTCAGAAAGTGACTCAACTAAAAACTAGATTTCTCTTCTTTGTAGAGTTTCCCAAAAGGGGAAAAAAAAAAAATCACTAATTTATCTTTCTGGTCCCAATCTGCCTTGAAATTGCACAGAAGATTGAAAAATCTGAACATTTGTTAGGTAACTATTGATGTGAGGTTAAAAAGGAGAGGTAAATGGTTCACGGGATCCTAAATTAATATGAGGTCTAAGATAGATAAAGATTAGGAAACACAGAGTATGTGTAATGTGTCATTTGCCTGTAGGGACCAACACACTTTCTACATTGACAATGTATTTGAACTCTACCTATGGAAAAAGTGAAGGAAAGAAACAGGGTGAAAGACAAGAGAATATAAGATTAATTGGGGTGGAAGAAAGTCCTGGGGCTGGTCTTACCATGGCATATGCACCTCAGCTGCCTACAGAGGTTCAGTTTGGGTTGCATATCCTTAGACCCAAAGCTACAAAGGTGGAAGATAGAATAACAAAGGAAGTTGAAAGAGAAAAGGATTATAAAAATAAAAAGAGAGAAGGAAAAAAGCAGGAGAATACATAAATTAAGGATAAGCAGCCTGAAAGTTATTTTAAAGTAATTTAGAAGCAGACGATTCTTCCAGATCAGGGCCAGCATCCATCCAGACTGCTTTAAGTTATGTACACTGTGTTCACTAGTAGCTGGCATTTCAGGAGAAAGAGTGAGAAATTGCAAATAAGCAGCACAGAATAACCACACTTTTACTTAATCTATTTAGCTAGATGCTGACTTCTATCCTGAAGCATGATCTTGAAGCATTGATATCTCTTGCAAATCTCATGTGTATTTTTAACCCTGTTTCATTATCCACAGAAATATCCAGTTCTCTTTGAATCCCACATGGATCTTAGTTTCCATTACAAATTGTGGTAATAAACACTGCATGGGAACTATTCAATTCAGAAAAATGTCTTTTAAATTTGTTGTTCTGTCAAAGTTGAAAGGAGGACACAACTACAAGATGACAGGTTTTAAAAGTAATTGTAGTCCAAGGGCATGTTGTGCATTAGCATTCCTCTCAGTGTCATTTCATGCTCTCATTTTGGGTGCTATCTAGTTTTCTGTCACTAACTTCCCTGCTTAGAAGGAGCTTCATCCATCTTCTCCAAGGGAAGATGAAATCCAGGCACCGCCAGCAATTTTTACTTTTTAAAATAAGATAGGAAGCACTGCTCTTTTACGCCACCAAAATATTATAAAGTACAGACTGAATAACAATGCATAGAGATTATACCTAAAATGTTTGCTAGGCATTTGCAGCATCTGTTCCCAGCTATTGCATGGTATTTGTGTACATGTTTGCCCTCATCTTTATCAAGAATTTTACAAATTACATGAAGATGATTAAAGCAGGCATGGCTCTCTTTACTCTCCTGCTTTCTTTCAAAAAGTAAATGAAAGTTTATTGTATTATCCACTAACTTGCTGCATTAAATGTATTTGAGCTGGGATCACCTTGGTCTATATGATTTAATCCCACTTCCTGCAGAGATTCCCAGTTAAATATATTTGGTGGATAGCCGTAGGCTGGGGGCTGGAAGGAGAAGGGGAACAGTAGCTGTCTTACAAGATTTCCCTAAAAAGCATTTTTGCCTTGTGTGGTAATCCAAAATATATATCAACAAAAGTTCCTTATATAATTCAGAGATGGAAATTTATCTGTATCACATTGCATAATCTGGCCCCATCTTAGAGGGCCAAGGAAAGAGTCAATGCTTTGAAGACAGATCTAGAAAATCTGGCCTGAAGACTCAATGTAATGTTTAGCACAGCAAGTAGTTGATTCTGCTGGTATGAATATATTTCATCCTGCTATTTTAAGTCTACTCAACATCAAAGACACATTCGCAGGTACAGCCTTGGAGAGCCAACAACTTAGGACACCACAATAATGTCACTTGGTGTGTAGAGGGAGGTTAAAAGGAGGATTAAAGCAGTCAGGCAGGATATATTAAATGAATCCATGACTAACGGGGTGTGACAGCAAAGGATTCGTTCTTTTCAACAGAATAGATCCCTAGGGCTGGAAGTATTACTCCACTGTGCCTTTATCACCTTGGAATTTTTATGGTTATTTTTGATGAATTCACATTTCTGTAAAGACTTTTTTGACATTAAGCCAATTTTCACTTTTAATTAAAGCCATAAATAACCTTAATTCTGCATTAAAAAGTTTATTGTTTCTTACTTATTATTATTATTACTGCCAGGAAATATTTCAAATACCAAAGCGTGATGTTAGTTAGCAATTATAAATTCTCAAAGGTCCAGTAACTATGCTGTACCTTGTAAACATTATACAATGCATTCTTTATCCATGCTTTAGGTATCTGTCTTGATAGATGCCACAATTTTTCTTTTCTTTTTCTGGACGTTTGGCTTATTTCCCCTTCCATATGTCAATGTATCTCAGTTGGCCAATGGGCATAAATAAATCCTTGTCAAACAGGGATGAAAAAATAAGCAATTTTAAGTCTAGAATTTGCCCTTAGAGAGTGAAGCGAGGATGAAAAAGGGCCAGGTTTAAACTTTGGGGCAAAGAAGGAATGAAAAATTAGCAAATTCAAATAGTGAATGAAATGCAGGAAGGAAAATCCCACGGAGAATTGCAATCTGTCAAAATGAGAGGTGGGAAATAACACTTTATTTCACTTTTCAATGACAGTAATGCTACAGGGCAGTTTAATACCTGTATTCAGGTCTGTTATGCCAGTTTTAGTTGAGGCATCACACACAAATTTCTCCAGCTGCGATGTCTTGACCAGCATTTACTTTACGTGCTTGTAAAAGACAGTGTCTGGGTGACTAGGTTGCCCCCCAGGACAGGCAGGACAGGGCTCACAGACCTCCTTTGGCAGTCCTGCCTGTGGGAAGCACGCATGGGAGAAAGGGAACCAAAGCACTGCTTATTAAGGTGAAAATGAATGCTCAGTGACTGATACGGGAGCAGGCACTCATGAATTTAAAGGAAATTCCTCAAGAATGCTACAGGCCAGTTCCTCAGAAGCTGACATGCAGGTCTCTGCTGCCATGTCCTGCTTCAACAAACCATTGAATCAAAACTTACTCTTCATATTTGTTTAGTGTAGCTTTAAAGACTGACAGTGCTTCCAATGCTATATGAAACAAATTTTTTGCCATTTTCTACGAAAGGCTGTGCGTTTAACTTTAAACTATAGCTGGTTTTACAAGGGATTCACATCTCAAAGATTTATCTATCCCTACACCAGTTCATGCATGCTCCCCTTTTATCAGGATAAGTTTTCTTTAAATGGAAAGCTTAGATTTTTATCCTCAATGATCTAAACAATATAATGAAATAGTGCCAGTGATTAATAGGAGATATGATGAAAAATGCTCAGAAGAAAAGAATCATTCCCTTAGGTGACAACTCAGCTCTTCAAAGACGTGCTTATACTTATAAAGAACTGTTGACTCATGGACTTTACATCCACAGGGAACAGGTGGTGTGAACTTTCTTGGTATTTGGAAGTATCTGGCATATGGAAATTTAGAGCTTAATCTCATCTGCCCTCAAAATCCATCCTTCCACCTGAGAGTGGTCATGTAAACTGGATTTTGTATTACTATGTGTTTACCAAGTGGCAGAACTTTCTGTTTTCAAAAATTATTTTTATTTGCCTTGTTATGGATGTTTAGTGATTAATCATCACATCAAAAAATAAAAGCATTAAAGCAGGTAGTCTCATCAAGTCAAAGATGAAACTATCATTGATATAAGAAACATATGTACTATTACCCATTAATGTTTTTTCTGTTCTGAAATCAGCACAAGTACATGAAGATGCATTGAAACACTTAATACTAGAACACTTACTTTTCCATATAAGCTTTGCATCAGTCAATGCGGTAGAAAATTTACCTTTTTCCTGACTTGTTGGTCTTTGGAAGAATGGGCTTTCACATGCTTTCTCAGGGAACTCGGATCTGTGTATCGTTTAGTACATCCTGGAATCTGACACGCATAAGGTTTCTGAGTCAAAAAGAAAAAGGATAAAGCAGCTGTTATATCACACAGTATTTTAACTCAAGCAAACCACAATACTGCAGAACACAAATGTTATACGTTATAACAAGCAGAATGCTCGGTAACTTATTAGAAAGGGAAAGGAGGAAAGTATGGCTTATAAGGAAGAGAAACTAAAGGAAAGCTTTCATTATGGCACCTTTCATTGTTACCTTTTTTTTTTTTTGTAATCAATACAATGAATATTGCTAGTTATACTCACAATTCTTCCACCCTCAGAGCAATCTTTGACTTAATCAGAAATTACATTCTTTAGTGAATCAGGTAAAGAAACTGAAGTAAAGGCCCAGATAGACTGTTAGGATTATAGAAGAATCTGCTTCAGAAAAAGAGAACAAGAAAAAGTGTTAGGTTACTACATTACAAAGAGAACAAGCAAAAACCAAAGTAAGCATTGAATACTGAAGTTTCAAAAATATTACACACAAAAATACACATTTTAATGTGAATTACAGGACAAATTCCTTCAGCTCACACTTTCTAATAACACATCATATTAAAAAGATACCAGTACTGTAATACCTTTATAGTTGTCTTAGAAGAAAGCCCAACTTTCTAACTCACCAAATAAATAAAAAACTCTATAAATATCTCCTTCTGCCTAGTCTAACCTGTTTGTCTTCTCTGAAGACTCGTAGTTCCACAAGACAGAGTATTAAATGAGTATAAGGTCCAACTGTTTGCTGAAATTAACTATTTTGCAGTTTAGTCATTTTTGTTTCACAAAGCGTTTCTGAAAACACCTTGTACAAATGATTAATTTACCTCCCATACTGACAACTATTAGAAATAGATAATTTATATTTTGTGACAGCCATTTAATTCAAATGGCATTGTTCTTACTTTCTTCTGCCCTTCGGAAACTTTGTCTTGGACAAAATATCTTTTGTTATGTAACAAAAGTTTTTAAACAAATCTCAGCTATGACTCAAATTCACAAGCAACAATTTGTTAGTATGAAAATTTTTCAATCTAAAAAAATTATTCTTCCTCTATTGTCTTTCTGGCACATGCCTCAACCTTAATTTTAACTGAGTTTTTGTCAAAGAATAGCAGTTACTATTGCAGATGGCTTCTGTGTCTGTGCATAATGACTGCAGGTTCCCTAAAGATCATCTAAGTAGGAGAAAGCTACTGCCTCCACCTGCAGCAAAGTCTATGGAGCTGTGGCCTTTTTATCAACTGGTTTGGCCCATCTTCATCCATGCTTACTTTACTGGGTCACTTCTCAAATAGCTTAGCCAGCTTCATCAGACACTTATCCCTCCTATCTCTAAGGTTATGGTCTACCTGCTGCCACCAAGCTGGAGGAAAGAAGCACATCTAATGTAGAGGGGACTGCAATGGGGTTTTTGCTTCCTTACAGTGTCCAAGTGTGTCCTCTGGTGCTTGGCGCGGTCGCTGGAGTTGCTGAACGCTTTCTGGCAGCCAGGGTGTTGGCAAAGGTACGGCTTTTCACCCGTATGGCTCCTTAAGTGAATCTTGAGATTTTCTAGTCTGGAAAAGGCTTTCTTGCAACCCTCAAACTAGAAAAAAAAGAAATAAATTATTTGAAAGGAAAGCACACATAGCAAAATGCAAGAGCAAACACTGAGCAGGAGGGTGAAAGGCCCTGCAGAGACCTCCAGCCTGGATGCCCCTCTGGAGCTGAGAACAGCCTGGCTTCTCAGTGTGGATGTTGCTGCAGGGTTTGAACCATTAACAACGTTAAGAATGTATTTACCCTTCCTGCACATGGCTGAATTAGGAAACTATGTCCTGCTCCCATTCTACACATGGGACACAGAGACCCAAAGAGACTGGTTAACTCAGTGCCAGCTGATTCTCCAGTTGCACAAAGAAAGCAAAATGGTCACTGTGGGGTTCCCCAGTTCTGTGCTAGCAATGCTTATCTCAGCTCTGGGCATGTTTGGATACCAGCAACTGACAAAATTAAACATATGTAAATAATTGTTTATGTGATTGTACAATTTGCATTGAATTTAACTGGGCAAAAATACTTTAACTGAACAGAACTGGGGAATGTTACCTTACAAATTTAAAAACTGCGATTTCTTAGGACTCCTGCATTGCTGTTCATAACTTGGATGGAGAGAAGATAGTCTGAAGTTCTCTCTCCCCTCCACAGCCCTAAATTACTGTGTGTCATATTCACAAGGCTACACGTAGTTGTGTATTACAGAAAAAGTCATTCTAGCAAAACACAAAAACCCACAAACCACAAGCCTGTATCATTAGAAAGACCATCTTTACACAACAGTCAATGAATGTCTACTCTAAAAATCAGACTTTTTGAAGCCTTGGGAATCTCTGATGCTTAAGATGAAAGGAATTAAAATAAAGTTGTTCCAATAATGCAGAACATACATTCTTTCCTGATAACCAGATCTCAGTGAAAGTATTCCAGAGAAGACTCACTTATCTATGGGGGAAAAGGTCAGGTAGATGGTAGTTTAATTTTGAAATGGAACAATTTGTTGTTTCTAAGTTATTAACTGTAGTAGAAAAGGAGGATGTAACACCTTCATTACAACAAGTCGCTCAAGTACATGGAATGCATTTGGCATTCTGAAGCTGTTTAACACTCCTAAACATACTCCTGATTAAACCAGATTTTTTGGAATATTATGTGGAATTAATTGTGTAATGTTTTTCTAAACTACAATACAGGAATCATAGTTACCGAGCTTTTATTTTTACTGTTGCATAAAAATTGAAACCGTTACATAGCTCATAAAGAAAATTTCCCCTCGGAACTTCCTAACATTGGGAGTTATTTTTAAAACATATTCATTGGAATGTCCATATCCATGTTTACTTTATCTTTTCATGAGAATAATTGTCAAAAGCAAGAAATAATATATTTACAGTGAAACGTCAACAAAAATCAAAAGCAGTGCTATGACTTTAAAACACTTGTGTTCACATGAGCGTGCTGTTCATCTTTCACAGAATCACAGAATCACCATGGTTGGAAGGGACCTTCGTATACACAGATACAGTGTTCAGTGTACTAGGCAACAATCCCATAAGATTACACTAAATTACATGGATATATATAAAATAATCTCTGCAGCATGTAAAACCACACTGGATGCACCATGCACTTTTGAGCCCTGTCTGGAAATAGACAGCAACCTTCATTATGAAATACATTTTGACACTTAGACTGTAGGAACAGCATAGTAATACCTGTGTGAATACTTTAACGTTAGGAGCAGATATTCAGTGGCCAAGTGTTTAGGAAATTAGTCAGTTTTCACTGTAAAAGGAACTGCTCTGATTATCTCAGTTGATCACCAGTGTAACAAAAACTGAAGACCTTGCTCTGGCAAACAACATCTGTCTGAGATGTGATCCATTCACAGAAAAGTATCTAGTCCTGAGTCTAAAAGTCAATGACAGACAGCCCAGCTTCCTCTTAATGCAACTATTCCCTAATATTATCTTGTATTAAAAAATCCTCACTTTTTCCTATCTGAATTTGTTTTACTTTAGCATCCAATCTGTGAATTTTGTTTTATCTTTTTCTGCTATATTAACTTGTAAGTAGTGCCAAAGATAACTTATGATTCTAGGTATTTTCTGTTATCAAGTCACTTAACTTTCTCCCAAATAACATATATATATATAGATTCTTTGCTTTCTCATTTTAAAAAACAACACTTTCTCAGACCCACTTTGAAATTGACTCTAAAATTAAAAGAAATAAAATTAAATACACTTGGAAGTATCGACACCTGAGAAGTATTTGATTCTACAGTAATGTTTCCTCCAATATACAACATAATGTTACTGTCTTATTCTGATACTCTCACATTTAGCTTTTAATTATCTCTTTTTTTTTTTTTTTTTAATTTGAATCAGTTTTACATGGCAATCCTCCAGTATTTTTAGCAACACCACATTTAGGGTGGGATCATCTTTTAAGTGTGAAGGATAAGCATTTCTCTAGTATGTTGCAATGTGTGGGGAAATATTTATGGGATATTATGATGAATACATTTAATTAACCAATCTGGTCTCCCGCTAATGTTATGGGGGGAAGGGTGTTTCCCCCTTTTTAAATTTGACTTTACTGAACATCAGCTTTCTTATAAACATTAAATTGCAACTGCTGTCTTTCTGTGTATCAAGAGCTAGCCAGTATCTACACAAAGTCTCAATAACAAACCCAGATACTTCAGTGACAGAAAACACTTAATTTTTCAGCTAAACAAAATACATGCCTTGGGCAAGAAGTAGAAGAGACTAATAGGGCCCTAAAACTCTGTGGTATAGGGACATGATTGGATGAGGCGTATCCAAATGACCACAGAAAGTTAGCTGTGACCTATGCTTGGTGGAAAGATGAAGAACTGTCCAAATTCTGCCAGATGGACTTGAAGGAAATCAACTCAAGCCCACATACACACCCAGGAGGTACTAACCAGATGCTTCCAATACGTTCTTATACAGGTGCAGAATACCAGTTTGTTTGGCTTAGTAACCTGGTCAGTCATGATGAAACTTTGATGACGCAAAAGAGAAGAAAAAAGTGCATCCACAAACTAAGATACATATCAGAGGTAAGAAATTCCTCCCTGCTCTTATAAGGTCAACAAGATAAGACGTTTCACCCTAGCAAGCGTGCTTTACATGAAAAAGTATTGAAAGAAGCAACATCTCTACTTTCCACACCTTTTCTTCACTAACTACAATGGATATGACTTCTGATCCAAGGACACCTGGCACCATAACAACGTGGGGCTGGGCTCTCCTTACTACATCCACACAGGTAGGAAAACCAGCAATTTTCTATATGTACAGTTCAGATTAGACGTAGTGCTTCCTTTGCCAGATAACCCGCGGCTAACCCACATTAGCCCATGTTTGATTGCACATAGATGCATGCTTTAAAAACTCTTCACACAATAAGGTTTGGTTTTCCACTGATAATTTCTGTGGTTCCCTTCTAACTACTTCTACAGTCACCTGGGATATGAAATATAGGATCAATATTTCAGTAGTAGTCTCACCAGCACTAGGCATGCAGGTAACATAACTTTTCTGAATAAGCTTTTTCACTCATTCAAGGACTGTGTCAGCCTTTCTTTAGTCATAGGATTTTACAGAGGGTTTTCATCACAGTTGACAATATTAAATTCCCACTCAGACTCACTTTTTGCTAGGCAGAATTTCACATCTTGTACATAAAAGCTATGTATCTTCATTCCTGCTTGTGCTGCTTTGCACTTGCCTGATTTACAGTGTACTTTTTTATAACACAATAATTCAGCAAAGTCAATCAGATCATCTGTAACAGTGTGATATCCTCAGTATTTGTGGCTCTACTAGTCCCTGTTAAATGTACAAAGTTTACCTACTTAGCACCATTATTTCGAGAACAAGTGAAGTATTCTTTACCTAGAGTGTGCCATGCAAATGAAATCTAATACAAAAAACTCATAGAAACATAGAATCATTTTTGTTGGAACAGACCCTTAAGATCATTGAGTCCAACCATTAATCTAGTACTGCCCAGCCCACCACTAAACCACGTCCCTAAGCATCACATTGTCTTTGAAATATCTGCAGGGATGGCAATTCCACCACTTGCCTGGGCAGCCAATTTAAATGTTTGATAACCCCTTCAGTGAAGACATTTTTCTTAATATCGAACCTAAATGTCCCCTGGTGTAACTTAAGGCCTCTTGTCCCATCACTTGTTACCTGGGAGAAGAGAATGACACCCTCCTCTCTACAACCTCCTTTCAGGTAGTTGTAGAGATCTCCCTCCACATAAGGTTCAAAAATGTCATGTAGTTCAAACATGAAAAGCCCTAGAGAAACACAATTATACTGTATACTATCTTTTGTAAAAAGAAAACTGCAGGCATTTCACTAGTAGCATTTTATACTCCATTCCACACTGATCCCCATCAGCACTGGGACAAACTTAAGTGCAAGATGTTCTTTGGAAATAGCATTATCTGCCTATGATTCCACATTTGAATTCCATTTAAGATCTTTTAATGAGTAAATTATTATTGAATAATATTGGACTATTCTTAAATATCCTGTGCTTATAATCAACAATTTTATTTTTTTTTTTTCAGCAAAACATCAATCCACAAGCATAGTACTACTTTTTTGTTCTTCCATTCCAGACTGTAGAAGTAATAGGTTGACAACACATGGTCCCTGGAAGAGCTGATGGATATGGGAGAAGAAAATGAAACAAGTGGGACTCTACAAAGGTGAAAAAGGACTCCAAGGTGTTTCATGTAGCCTTCTGAGTCTTCGGAAACAGAGTGAGATAACCTGTTATAGCATGTGCTGAAAGATCCAAACATACCAGTTTGGATGTATAAGCCTGCCTGCTTGAAGATAGTATAAAATGTTGCCTCTACCTCACGCAGATGTACTGTTTGGACTTGGACCTAATCCCATGCACAACAGCAAGTTACTGTCTGGGATTGCTTTGACAAGCTGCTTGACTTTCTCACTTTGGTAATATTCATAAGCTGACCATAAGCATGACAAA